CAGGCACCACGACAGCGCCATTAAGCGCGGCTGAAAGCGTGCCTAGTCCATCGACTTACACAAAAATCGATACCATTTACGAAGATACGCTAGCAGAACAGGCTTGTCAAAGTTTGGAGTCTTCCAGACAAACAGATGATGACCTTTCTTCGTCTGGTGCAGGTCAAATGTCTTCAGTGCCGGCCACCGTCGCCCAAGAAGCCATTGAGGGCTCCACTTGCGAGTCAGACTCCCTAACACAGTCTTCTCTTTGTGATTCGCTTATTCCAACATATTCACTGGTGGATAGCAGCTCCTTCAGTTTCCGCGAACACCAACCATCAGCTAATATTCAGTACATCATCCGAGAGGCACGTGATGTTATCGAACGTGGCCTCTCTAGAGAGCGGGATTCCCTTGGTGAGGAAGACTCCCTCACTTCCTCCTCCGATGTCGAGGACTTGCCAGGCCGTTCGTCTTCTGTGGAGCTGGAACAACACCAGGAGCCCTCGGGTCAGAGCTCTTTGCCAAGAGGCTTTTTGCGCACCTCACAGGACTCCCTTGATGACATCCTGCCGATCCAAGGTTGTGAAGATACCTCAATATCCTCAAGCTCTTTCTCACAGGCCCTTCATAGTTGCCCAATGACCGATTCTCTGGAGGACAGTGGTGCTGCAATGGCCAGCTGTAGCCGTACCTCAACCCAGCCACCCTCTGGAACTGAACTATCAAAACCAGCTGGCGTCATTGATACCCATACCGCTTTTGCCTTACGAGACCAGGGCGAATCAGAAGATGTTGTCCAAGAAGGCGGAGAAAAAGAATCAAAGAAGAGGCAGTTGAGCAGTTTGGAGTTACGAGCAACAAGTGATGATGAAGCCTTAGCCAAACGTAGTCGAACACAGGAGGGTCGAATTAGCTCTCGTCTGGGCCCTTCCATGAGCAGCGGCTCTCTGCACGATGCTTCTGTGCTCGGTCTGGAAGCTGCTCCGGTTTCCCGAACCGACTCAAATCTTGGCTCAACCATATTTGACATTTCGGAAGAAGAACTCGGAGTTGGAAGTGGGAAGTCGAATGTCCTACCACCAGCCTCCCTCACCTGCAGCCCTCTCAGAAGCATGACGTCCTCTCAGACGTCTGAAATGCCTGAAGTTCATGAAAAAGTCGAACCTGGTACGTTAGTGGAGACTAGCGGACTTCCACCAATCTCACAGCTTACAGAACTCCTGACCGAAGCTCCTCCTTTAGAATCGCCGTCAGCCACCCAGCAGAAATGTGAGCCATTCGTCTTCAAGGAAGTCGAAGACGACTTTACAGTTATCACACGACAAACAGACGTCCAGACCACTGAAAGCACTGCAAGTCACGTAGCGCCCGAAGATAAGACCGAAGAAGGAAAGTAGTTTGAAGAACTAACAGTAGCAGCAGCAGTAGCAGCAGCAGCAGCAGCAGCAGCAACAACAACAACAACAACAAAACAACCACGTCAGTAAAAACGAACCACGACGACTGTAGAAGTAGAGGCTTTTACAGAATCTCAAACCGCTCTGAAGTGTCCTCTCAAGCCTCATTTGTGCTCTCTCCCAAGCCGACGCCCGGGCATCCCTTCCTCCAATTAAATAACTAGTACTTTTCCACCCAAAATGCATTCCCCAAATCACTTTCGCATAAATTCCTATTTCGAACGACCTTGGCCACAGCTAACGTCAGTGTACATAATGTGCGAGGTCTCCCTAAGATTCATTCCTTAGCACTTAGGGGGAGACGCTTGCAAGTGCCACCATAATCTCAGAGGGCAGAAACTGTGTAGCCTCAAGATAACAAATTTC